CGTGCTTCCATGTGACCCACGCAACAGATGGCGAGGCTGATAGAGAAACCTTATGAAAAGATAAGACTGCTGCTACATTAAAACAAACACGATGATGAAAAAGGTGTTAAATCAAATAAAAGCCAATGATCTGGTCTCATATAACAGCTTGTTTGTTCAAGCAGATAAAGGTTTGGAGAAAAAATAGAACAAATTCATTCAAATTGATTTTCTTTGCTTTTGTCACTTTCTTTCTCAATGTTAAGCAAACATTAATGAAACTCAACACTTCCTGCCAATGTTTCACAGTATAAACCTTCCAGGGAAGTAAAGGTATTATACCGTCCTTAAACCTGTGAAAGGCTTTTAATGTGAAACTGAAGCAGGCAAACAACAAAATCTCAAATAGAGGCCAGTCTGAAATAAAAGCCTGGCTCTGTTTTTACTTGAGGTGAATAAAGGGACTACTTAATTAAGTATTATATTAAAGGATAAGTCTAGTGATACTCTTTATTTTTCTCAAAGTCAACAAATCCCATGAAAATCTCCACACCAACAATGAATGTATCCTACTAACAAGTTGTGTGAAGATCGAAAAGCTGATATTTCTACTTCCTCTTTGCCATAGAGCTCCATTGTTGTCAGACACATCAATGAGCCACACTGTCAAATGTGGATTAATCCGCCACTGAAAATAGTCCAGTAAATGCACGATTCCCTTCTGTTTGAGTAACGTTAAAATCTAGAGGCCAGTTGCTTTTAGAAATTACTGAGCCTTCTCTGTTCTACACATTTAAACTAGATACACTATACATTTGTGAGATTGTGTGACATTTTTTATTGGATTTTATTTTTTAAATGAAAAAACATTTAGAATAACTGTATCCTTTAAATAGTGTCGCCTAAATGTTTCCTTTTTGCTGAATTTTCTCCACTAGATTTAAGAGCTAAATAAAGTATTTTCTAGTTTCCTTACAGGTTTATCATGTCAGGTTTAACATCATCATATTGTTTGGTTAGCATTTAGTTATAGCTATTTTTCTCCAATGTAGACTTTTTCCAGTTTCAATGACGCAAAATGCCACTGCAAATGCAAAATAATATGGATTAATGGGAAATGACGCTAACACCCGCTTAAAAAGGAGGCGTGTGCCGCAGCATATCTGGCAAAGGGGATAGCTGAGGACAAACGCTGGCGAAAGTTACTAAATGCCTCCTGGCCTACAGTGAAGACGTGTGAGGGCGGAGGGCGGTATACAGGCCGGTATAGGAAGGAAGCGCCCATGTAGGACACACACACACACACACACACACACACACACACACACACACACACACACACACACACACACAGACAGACAGAGGCCGACACACAACCAAGAGGCTCACCAGGCCTGAATATTGTATGAGGCGTTCTCATGGGCCACTGCAGAGCGTGCAAACAGAGAGAGAGAGAGAGGTGGATTTATGCACACACACACACACACACACACACATAAAGAGAGTGAAAGAGACAGAGTGACACACTTGAAAACACAAACACATGTACGCACACAAACAGGGCCAGTGGAGCTTGAGCTGATGTGGCCCGAAGCAGCCCAACGCCCTGTCACACACACACACACACACGTCACACACACACATACTTGCATACACTTAAGAGCCATCTGCAGCTGGAGATACAGCCTAGAGAAAGGCTTTACTGCTGACACTCTGAGACAGACAGAGAGAGAAGGATAAGAAAAGAAGGGAGAAATGGTCGTGAACGAGTGAATCAGGAGATTAGGAGGAAGGAAAGACAGGAAGAGAGGAAGGGGAGGTGAAAAATATGGCACCAAACTCTGCTCCCTCACTCGTACCTTCTGCCCACTCACATCCAAAATTGCTTCATCGACACTTTCACTGAGATTTCAGCCCTTATTGGACTTTTTCCATTATTGGATTCAATCTCATTGGATGTATTCTGCTTTGGGCCCACAAAATTCAAGCCCGCTTTTCGACCCAGAATCTAAAAGTCCCATTCACCCCCTTCTTGTTTCCATTTCCACCACAACTGAAGAATTGTGAAGATTAGGCCAATTAGTCCAAAAAGGGAATGTAAAAACAGCACACTACACAAAACATCATCAAACTTGTCTGTCTGGGGGTCAGGTACTACACTAACTACAGAGAGCTTCTACTATTACCATTCTTTTCTTGACATTAAAAACAATTTAATACCATTGACCAAAAGCCTTAGACCATCTTGTTAACATCATGGCTTGAAAAAAGAGCCGTGGGTGAATCGAGGGGCTGCAATTAGTTCAGATATGTCCTTGTAACTGGACACAGAGAACCAAACTTTGTAGATATTTTTTAGCAAATATTAAACCTAAAAAGGTTATACAGCTGGTTGATAACGACATACAATGTAATCAAGTCATTTCTTGAATGCTACAAATTAATCGCTTAACTTTTTCGTTGAAGTCACGAAGCAAAAGTTTTAGGGAGAGGGGGCTATTAGCTATTCAAAACACCTCCAGCACACCAGTTAGCTAGCGATTGGTTTAGATGCTTGTGGATAACTTCAGACAACTTGGAAAAGAGTGATGCCTTGAAGCAGTAGTTAGAGGTCGGAGGAGCCTCCCAGGGGTTTCCAGATGAATCAAACAATCTTTGAAGCCTATGGGCTTCTTCCAATAACTTGTTTGATAAAACAGCCTGAAAAAGGGGGAAATAAAATTCCTAATTTCGTGTCAAAGACCACCACTCCTGAGACTCAGGTAGGTATTGTTTCGTTCATAAGGCTGTAAATAAAAAAACTGGCAGGAATTCTGTTGGAATATTCTGTTTTTTATCATGGCGATGATGTGGGAGTTTAGGAGCAGCTGATGAAAGCAGTCCTAGGGATTCACTCCCACTAAAATCATTATTTTTCCTCTGTTCTCATTTTAGATTATTACCAACAGAAAATATTACTTAATCCAATCAGACCCTAGCTTCAGATGTGGAAATAATGGTTTTATTCCAAAATAATGTGGCCAATTTGACAAAATGTCCCGGTAATTCAAAAATACACATGATTCTCATATTGAAACAGATTAAAGACTTTGTAGTCTTTTAACTTTCTCACCAGAACTCATTTTATTGGCCTAAATCTATCACAAGCAGACCGTCTATTTTAATAACTTTTTCTGCCCTGCTGTGTGTTGTTGTTGCTGGAATATGACTTTAACCTGAGCTTTCAACATGACAATAAATAAGTGGTGGTGACTTCATGTTGACAGTGTTTGTGGTTGACCGATCGTGAACTCCTGCAGCAATTCTTGTAACATCAAGTGAGAAAAATATTCAAAGCCAAGCGAGATCCAGCTTTAAGTCCAGGCTCCATATGAAGCCTAAGTGCTGTAGTGCAGTGTACACGGCTCGCTGAATCATACCTAACCATCTCGTGTTCAATTCATGAGAGGGCCATTATGTATAAAAGGGTCAGCAAGGCATGTGAATGTGCTCCGCGTTCGCCTGACGAGCTCCAGCGAAGCCTTTTCCCACAGGGAGGAAAGACGTTAGGAAAGAAAATGTATTCCTATTACAAAACATAAAAACTGAACTAAATGATTGCCCTCACACCTTCTCTCCTAACCTCATCACTGACCTCTCTTCTAGTCAATATGCAAATGAACAGGCACTATTTTTTTCAGCCGCTCGACAGGCCTTTCTTCTACCCGGTGGCCATTTTGTGTCGAGGTGGTTTCCAATTGGTTGCAGGAGTCATCCTTTGGCCTGTCGTTGTAGTTGTAGTTGTTGTTGTTGTTGTTGTTGTTGGGAGAGGTCTGTGGGTAACAACCGTGCCGATGCCAGAGGGGTAAGGCGGGGAGGAGGGGTGAGGCCCAGCTGTCCCTACCTCTGCCCTCCCTGCAAGCTAGCAGGCAATACGCCAGCCAAAGTACAGCCATAAACAACACTGGGATAGACTGGATTCAACAGCTCAGAGCTGGACCAGACTGGACTGGACCAGACTAAACTGGAATGGACCGGTCTACACTAAATTACAGTGTACAACAGCAGTTTGGTCCAGACCGGACTCAAGGGGAGTGCCGTGGGTTATAAATAGGGGTCAACACTTTCAGTCTTGAAAGGGACTCTGGTGTATAATCTGCATCTTATTCACTTCTTGCCGAGAGTTAGAAGAGAGGACTGATTCCACCCTCATGACAGCCAGGAGACGGTTAGCTTAGCCTAATGATTAATGCTTTTTCTACTGATTAAAAATATTAGATAAAACATGTAGGTAGTAGAACATTTGGCTGCTTCCAGTCTTTAATAAAGTATTTCTGATTCTGTTGTGATATGCTAAGCTAAGCTAAGCTAAGCTAAGCTTTGCTAATCAACTCCTGGCTCCTGGAAGAGTGACATCGACTCTCAGGAAGAAAGCCAATGAGCGTATTTCCCAAAATGTCAAACTATACCTTTAAAGTGACCTCATTCATTGTAAACTATGGTAACTTTGGTTTCCTTTTTGCTCAAACAACAACTTTTGGGCATGTGGGGATGAATCCTGGTAAAAATCAGTTTCAACAGAGTTTAAAAAAAAAAAGCCATCACAAAACAAGACCAAGCTGGATTTAAGGCTAGACTTCAGATCATCCTGCACCAAAGGCATGGGGAAGCAGTTCATACTCAGTTAAACAGACTGGATTGCAATGAACTGGACTGGCATTGATAGACTGGACTAGACTTAATTAAGTCTGAATGAGTCTGGAGAGGACGAGATTAGATTAGTTGAGGTTCAATCTTAATGATCCCATTGGGGGAAAATAAACTCGTAGTGGGTTGAACCAACAGAGACCAGGATAAACAGAAGAACACAGCAAATTGATTTTCAAACTTTCATAAACATGACAAGGACTGGACTTGACTCGAGGACTTCATTTATCATCAATGTCACTGCGTTATATTTAGGCAAATTCAACCTTTTGGGAAATGTAATGACAGTGTATTCCCAGTTGTTTGACCCACCACACACCCCCCCCACGCTTTACCTCGATGATGTCCGCATTGGTCCGGCTCTCGTGCGGCTCGTTGTACTCGGTGTACTTGAGCAGGACCTTGTCCATGTCGGTGCTGGCGTACTGGAACAGCTTGTTGGAGTGGTTGAAGATGATGAGGGCGATCTCGCAGTCGCACAGGACGCTCAGCTCGTACGCTTTCTTCATCAGACCGAACTTCCGCTTGGTGAACGTCACCTGGTGCAGAGAAAGACAGGTGGAGAGGAGAAGAAAGACAATTGGATGTTGTTAAATCTTGCATTTTTAAGCAGTAATATACAGGAAATGCAAAATATTAAAAATTAAAATGTAATTTTCTAGTGCAGCAGTCTGCCTTACCCTGTTCCATGATACTGACACTTATTTCAAGTGGAATTATCTCACCCTTTTGATGTTTTTTTTCTTGTGTTAAGAAAAATATGCCTTGCAGAGGCCCCCTTTTCCGTAAATGTTTGATGATGAGGGCCCAGAGCTGGGCCGGAGCCCCGGGGACATGCAAAGGATTACAGATATTGTACATTTACAAAAAGTACAGACTGATAACCATCTTCCTTTCCCTCAAAGTTCAACCTAAACCACATAAACTCACTTAGACCAGACATTAAGCCTTTTGCCAAACAAGTCTGGCTTACTTGCACCAACAAAGAACTTTTTCTGTTGCCCCTGATTCGCTCTGTGATAGCTGACTTTGTGTTTCACTAAAGCTGCTCACACCCTGCATGTGTTCTCAGTGATAAATCTCTCTGCTCCCGTTGTCAGATGACCACAATACCATAAAAATGTCATGATACATAATAAAAACAGTTTTATTAATGGTCTCAAAGGCAGCAAGCCCAGTCAGCTTCAGTGAAGTTCCTGATGTTTTCCAAGACTGACGCTGACAGCAGGGTGGACAGTCGACATGCCTCTAATAATACACTGGGTGTCTGCATAGGCGGATACGCTCACATATGTACTTCATACATTTTTGCAGAAATGTGCCTCACAGATGACATAGCCATAGTTTTCCAACAACAGGCTGGATTTTAAGGAATAGTTAGACATTTGGGGAAACAATTATGAGAAAATTGACCCCACTCTCATGTCTATTAAAAATGGAGATGCAGCCCAGCTATAGTTAGCTTAGCTTAGCATAAAGACTAGAAACAGGGGGAAACAGCTAGCCTGGCTCTGTCCAAAGGATACCTACCACAGCCTCTAAAGCTCACTTATTACTTTGTTATATCTTGTTTTAGAGGAGAGGAAAAGGAAGAGGAAGAGGAAGAGGAAGAGGAAAAACTGCATTTTTTACTGTGAAATATGTCGCACTATTTCTTGACTGGTAGCAGTGACTTACTGTGTTGCTGTATAGGTGATATGTGTATGTATGTATGTGTGTTTTTCATTATGTCACGGTGTAAAATGTATTTATGTGATGAGGAAGGACAATAAAGATATTTTGCAGTGTCTCTCAATCTCAATTTTGGCAAGAAAGTGAAAATTCCTAAAATGGTGAACTATTCCTTAAAGGCGCAACTTGTCATCCTGGACCACTAAATCACTGTTTCATTGTTGTGCATCGAGGCTGCAGCAGAGGGTACTTGGCACAAAAACCGGATTGATTGTATGAAAGTACTGTGTGCTTTAGGAAACAGACTTCTAGACAGTGTCTAAACATGTTCTCTTTCAGTACTCAGTTTGTATTTTGCACATCACACGCACAAGCTTTTTCTTCCCTCCACTCACTCTTTCTCTCCCGTCACAGTCATTCTCCTCGTCGTTTTCACACTCTGTTATGCTCTTTTCCATGCTCTCTTTCTATGTCACACACTCTCTCCCGCTCTGTTTTCCACCCTCTCCTTCTGTCACACGTTAGTTCTCTCTTTTCACACACACACACACACACACACACACACACACACACACACACTTGTACGAGCCCCCTCAGTTGTGAACAAGCAGAACAGAACTGGGAGTGTTGCTGAAGCACAGGGTCCCTTGTTGTCTGCTAGTTGGCTTTAGAAGCACTTCCCTGCTATAACCAACTGGTATTTACAATCCGGGGAGATTTGGCTTTGTTTGGATTAAACACACAGGATTGCACAAACACAAACACACACAGGGAGAGAAAAGATTAAGACAAGAGGAAGAAGGAAAAGCTCCAGGTACCGCTACAATATCTCATGTTTGATGTGGGAGAAATGCAAATAAATAAAAAGTGTGTACACACATGGGATGATAGAATTAATTGAAGGTATTTAAAGGGCCAGAAACTCTTCAGGCCACGCCCACCAGTGACATCAACACACTTACCATCAGACGTAAAGGCTAAAGCACCTGCACTGATTGCGGGGGATGTGACCTGAAGTGCAGCATTCTTGGAAGTTTCAGCAGTTTTCTGCACTACGGTGTGTCATCCGAGACCCATGCATACCCTGCTAGTCCACATTTTCCTTTAATACGTAAAGCCCCCCTCCAGTCAAAAATGTTTGTCTTCTTGTTCCTGCTGTTGGATGTTTGAGCTTCTCTGTGCAGAATGATGTCTGTGCAGAGTTTCACACTAGAAGGATGTTTTCACATTCATCTGCTTAAAGTGGAAAGTTTCTCTGTGCGCACGGTAAATCTGATTTTAAGGTGGGGCCTAGCAGCATGATTTGTGACATCACAAATAGTTTGTAAGTCCACCCTGGTCCAGAATGCAACTTATACAAGTATAATGTAGAAATATGAAGCCACCAGTGAAAACTTTAGAAAATAACAAAACTTTCATATTGAAATATTCTGTATATTTTAGTGAGTTAGAAGGAATAAATGCCCTTTTAAGGATTTTAATGTGGACATTATACGTTTTTTGTGATCAGATGCACATTATTGTTCCAAGTCGACTATGTTTATATGTTGTAATATATGTCTGGAGGGGAGCTTTAATACTAGAACAAGCAAACAGCAGGTTTCATTTCAAGTAAAATAGTCTTTTCTGTTTGTGGTAATTATACCGTACTGTATTAATGCTTTCTGCAAACCGATGTCCTAATGATATATTGATATTAAAATGATGAATCCACAGCCGCTGTGGTTTACCTGCACTGTTACGGACTGTATTTGTTTGGCTGCAGGGTGCTCTGCCAGCAGCGCAGGTTTCAACTGAATGTAATTGAAATGAATTGATTAAAGAAAGAAAGCGAGGAAAAGATAGAGAGGTAGAGATAAGATAAAGACAGACACTGAGGATGAAAGCTAGAATAGAAACCATGTGAGACCTTCAATCTCTCCATCTTTCTCTCTCACAATCACTCCATCTCTCATATCTCTTGCTCCTTTTTCCTTCAGCGCCCGACATGTTTTAAGCCTCTCTCATCCCTCCTTCCTCGCTCTTTCTCTATCTCCCTCCTCCGTCTCTGATTTTCTCGCCCTCGTTTTCTCTTCCTCTCTTCTCTCTCGCTTTTTTTCCACATCCTCCCTCCCTCCCGTCTCACCCCCCCATCGCCCACCCCCTCCCTCCTTTCGCGCTCGCTCACTCATTGCTTCCTGCTGCCACAAATCAAATTATATCGGGGTCGTATCCATGGGCAACCGACTCCCCTCTTGCCTCCCCTCCGCCCCCCATTTCCCACCTCATCACACACTGCTACCATCATCTTACCTCCCTCGCTTTCTCTCTCTCTACCCCCCCCATCTTTATCTCACTGCCTATCTACATACCTCCCCCCTCCTCTCCTTCTCTCTCCCTCTCTCACACGCAGAATGAGCAGATAAATTATGTGGCGATGTTGGAAAGGGAGGAAATTACGGCTGTGCAGGATGATGAGAGTGGTTGGTGATGAAGAGACAAGCCACTGCAAACACAACAACTCCTCTGCTAACAAATTATAAGGTCATCCGCCAGCACTGAAAACAAACAAAATGACTGCAAACATCCCAATAAAACCCCTGTTTTCCTTTCTTCTTCTTCTCTTAGAAAAAGTGGGCGGTGGGGTAGTGACTTTGGGTCTGAGTTTCGATCCTGGTGTTTGCCACAAAGGATAAACAAGCTGGAGGTAATTGACATTAAGAACAGAATTGCCAGGTAACCAATGGCAACTGAAGAATAAGACATCCTCAGTGAGGAGAGAAAGAAAGAAAGAAAGAAAGGGGGCGAGTGGTTTCATTTGAGTGTGTGTGTGCATGTGTATGACTGTGTGTGTGTGTGTGTGTGTGTGTGTGTGTGTGTGTCTTGGCGAGGTTGTGGTTGTGTGGCAGATGGATGAGGAAACCACCACTGACAACCGCAACCTCCTCTCGCTGTTTCCTGTAGCTAAAACCTCTCTTTCATTTGCTAGCTTACAGTCTGGCTCACACAATCAGGCCTGAACAGTTAAAACTAGATACTGATCAGTACATGACGCTTTTGTATCAGTCTGAAGGCTTTAGCGGTGAAGAAAGCACGTATCATGGATGAAACTTTTCATCTTGAAAAATTGATCAATGAACTCTGCTCTCTAATCTTTCTAACAGGCTGCCTGCTGTTTTCAGCCTTATTCTTCTGTGTAATGTGACACAGGTAAGTCTTTGTAACGCACACGTTGTTTCAGGCATACAGGTTTTTAGAATTAAAATCCTGTCTGTTTTCTCATAGACAAAGTTAGATGACAGTGGAATCTGAATTATCAGTACAAAAAAAATTAAGGAAATATCTGTTTTTTGATAAAAAAGTCCAAAAGGTCCAAGCCTGTGGATATACAAATGTAGATCAACTATAACTTCCAATGTGCATAAACATCCAGTCACAGAGCTTAAAATGATGTTACCTGTGTCGCTAACTTACTAAAAATGTTAATTTTGGATGAATTCAGACAAAACATGTTGAGTTTGCTACAGCTCTAAATGGCTCTGAGGCTCATGGGTATCCTGGTATTTGGAGCCACCAAACTCAAAATGTGTGTTTTTATGTAAAACTGGTGGCCACAACACAAACACTGTAACATTTTCCTGGAGACAAATTCTAGATTGATTATTCAGAGAAGGGAAATGTACAACCAGAACCAGCAGCTCCTCCAGCTGCACACCTCCATGTTTCTCAAGATAGAAACACAGGAGTCTTCTGGATCGTTTAACATTATAGGGTTTATGTTGTGACCATCCGTTGTAATCATTTAAACATTACTGAGAAGTTTGGTATGGTGGTCTGGTTTGGATGGCTCTAAACACTACGGTACCCATGAGCCTCAGCTTAGCAAAACAGAGCTGCAGCAAATTAGACCTTTTTCACAGCAAACCTTTTGACATGAAATAGTAAAGTAAACACGGGGAACTATCATTGGGAACACCTGTGTATTTCATGTCAAAATGGCTGCTGTGAAAAAGGTCTACTGGAATCAATGCACTGCTCCAGAGATGCTGAATTCATCCAAAACTGACCTGGAATCTGACAGCAAACTGATTTAAATTGCTCAATGTATAATCAGGTTGCTAAAGTTCAAAGTTTAAACTTTAACTTTTGTTCCATGTCCGCGAACAAAAAATATTTCAAGCTGTGTGATTTGATGTTTTTAACCCAAATGCTCCCTGGGAGTCATAATTGACTTCTCTTTTGAAGTTTTTATGTACCAAGTCCTGTACCTTTGACTTTTTATGAAAGAACCAGATATTTTCTGATATTTTCTTTGCAGAAAATGAACAAGACTTTAAATGCTCAAACCCTGAATGATTGAAATAACTCTGTATTTCATGTACTTTCATTCTTCACCCCTTCCAGCCAGAGGGGTCACGCTGTCAACCCTTTCTCTCAAACAGACGCTAACACTACCCAAAAATAAAAATCCGTCAGATGAATCCAAACATTTCCAGTCCTGTGCACTTGTTCTTTCTCGTGTGTCTTTGTCTCCATAAGAAATGTGGTATTTGAGATGCTGTCATGTTTCCAGCCGGGGCCCACACTCTGAACGCTGTTTATTTTGCGGAGCTTATGGCAGCATCTCTGAATCAACACGTAGGAGGGTGACGGGCTGCATGTACTCCAAAATTCATTTGATTTCCTTTCAGTAGCTGCACTGTTCATTAGCTGAAGCAACAGCAAGCAAGCGTGTAAAAACCATTTACTTCTTTACCAGCTTAATACTGTTCCACTTCAAACACAGCAGACTTGTTTCTTAATGTTGCTGATAGAAGAACTGAATCCTCTTTCACTGTTTAAATGCTTCTGGATAACAGTATCAGATAAACAGTATGTGAAATGTAAATGCTGAGTGCAGTTTTGGTTCAATGCTGGCATCAAAAAGTCATCACCCCGATGGGTTCGCCGCAGTGATTAAGAAACCATTTGCTGCTCATTAATCGCCTGATCGCGGTCAATGAGTAATCTTTGATTCTGACACTATGACCATGTATTACCACAGAGTGCATCACCTTATTGACAAACTGTTCGACACCTGATACAAAGCTGGCTCCATTAACTAGAGCCTGCCCGACCAGAAACAGTTGCACCCCCCTCCTCCATTATGTCCAATTGTGTACTGATGAATAACTAGCCATCATACTCCGCTGACCCCCTGCAGGCGCCGTTTGTTCTGCTTTATGGAAATGCGACCTGCTCAGATTGATGAGGAAAAAACTGAGGATGATTTTCCAAACCCTACGGCCAGCTCAGGTCTTACACAGCCAGGCACCTTGTTTCTCTCCCTCTGCCTCTCTCTGTCTTGTTTTCCTTCTCTCTCTGCTTTTGAAGGTGGGCACGTCAAATCCATTACTCAATCTGCTCAATGGAGCGAAGCCCATTTACCAGTTGACTCATTTTAGATGGATCATTTACCCTTTCATCCTCTCTGACAATGCTGCTGATGTAACCGGAGGGGCTGAGGCATTTTTTAAGGGGGAATATCATACTTTCTTGCTCTTTTTTCCCTGTAGGGAGGAAGAAGGGTGGGAGAGGGGGGGCGGTCTGAGAAACCCCATGATTGCTCTGCAGAGTCATGTGAGCCTCATAAAACATGATGCTATTATATTGTTCTGTTGTGGCACTGCTGAGAGAACAGCGACTATGTTGTTCATGCTACATGGGACATGTGAAAACAGCAAGGATCCCTGTGGGAATTTGTTATCGCATGAGTTACAGTTTTCTGTCACCACGATGGAATTCAGTTGTGGGGGAGTGGAAATTATCCTTCCTTAGATCTGAGCAAGACGGATGAAAGGATATTTACTTATACAGGGAGTTCAAGTCAGTCAAATGTTTGATTTATTGGATAACCATGTCATAGCAAGCTTGACAATGGACGCCATCACAACTCAACCTGTAGTTTTATCAAATAAATTGACTAAATGAACAAAATGTTGTGCTTCTGCATGGTACCAAACTAGGCTTTGCAAATGTTGTGTGCCATCTCAAAGGTTTAACAACTCGTTGGGGCTACAGAGGCTCCACAAAGGAGGTGGAGACAGCTGTATGTGTTCTCTCTGATACCGGTGGAGATAAAACTGAAGCCAACATAAGGCAAGCTGAAGAAACTAATTATTCAGTAATGACACGCGGCAAAGCTTCCCATCGTTGCTCTTTATCATTAAGTGAATATAATACAAGCGCAGCCAGATCACATAAGATACAGCGGTCTCATGTTACGGTGGTGGTATCAACAGAGGAAATTCAAACTCAAATGATACATTTAAACCTATGCTGTTGTTATCTACTGCAGTTAACCCCAGCTGTACACCCAGAGATGCTAACTTGAGCATTGTGAGTGATGGTCTTTAACTGCAGCACTCAACAATTTGTCCAATAAGTACTGTAATATTGCAAATGTGTATGAAAATCACACAGATATTTATAGAATGCATGACAGCTATTTCTTTTAGGAATTCCTTAAAATGTTCCCCAGTACTGTAAGATTATCACAGAACTGTTTAAATTAAATTTAACCTTTTGTATACATCCTCATCACATTAGGAGTAATTTAAAGTTCAGCATGTTAACAAGCTTGATATCGAACCACAAACCCTACGGTTAATAGCTGACCTGCTCTACCACCCGAGCTGTACCCACCCATCCGCCCCTTATTAATACAAGATTATTCCCAACCATCATTTGCTAGTTTAATTTATTCAGGTTTTTCCCTTTAATTTGTCACCTGTCTGTGTTATTGATGCTCTAATCAGGTTGCTCGTCACAGACGCAGCTGCTAACTCAAGTGAGTTCAATCAGGAAGTTATTATACATTCAGATATTGTACGCTCACTTAATCGGTGCTAACCTGTCTGTTGCGTTCGTCAGTGATCCTCTGAATCTGGATCTTTTTCCTCCCCATGTTTCCGGTGTTGCGGTGGGAGGGGCAAGGGGGAGTGGCAAGGTCAGAGGTCAGAGATGGCTGTTGTTGTTTTTCTTCCTCCTTAAAATGTCTTGTCTCTGTCCTCTCCGTGCACACAGACACTGTTGGAAGCAGCCGGGCAGTGATGCTGTCACACCGTAAATAAAAAAATAAAAAAAAGAAATAAAGAAAAAAGATAGGGAGAAGGAGGAGAGGAAGAACAGGGTTCAGTGTGCGGCGCCCTCTTCAGATCATGGTCCTGTTTCTGGGGGCTGGTCATCCACACTCAGGCTGAACTGGGGTCCTCTGCCCTCCCCTTCACCTCAGCTGGGCAGCTCCTGAAAAACAACACAGAGACATTCATCAGACTGAGAGAGAGAGACTGTGAAAGGGGAGAGAGGCTTTGTTTGTATACCGTGACCCACTTTAGCTACTACAAACACTGTATTTGCCTTCACCCCTTATATACAACAAGAGAATAAATGATGCAGCAATGCATTTGAGGCGCCATCAAATCAGAAGCACATTGAGCTGAAACATGAAGGCGTGCGGGGGGGGTTGTGGTGCTCCATGCAGAGCAGGAGGCCCTCAGGGGCCCGCGAGGAGGGAGGCTGTGCTGTGTCAGCTTCATTAGAGGCATCACCGCCACATCACTGATCTGCTGGTCGCCCGCGGCAACCGGCTGCCCGGTCGGGGCCGCCTGACATGCCGAATGTGATTCCCCAATCGAAGGCAGAGCAGAGGAGGAGCAGAGTCTGTGGATTCTACATATTTTACGTTTCCAAACGCCATCCTGGTCTGTGCTAATTTCTTGACAGGAAGCAGGTGTTTAACATAACCTGTGCCGACAGTGGCCGGGGCGTTACGACAGTTAACACCACATGGATGGAAATGCTTCTACACTCAACTGCACATTATTCTCCAATTAACTACTCAAAACACATGATAGTTAGGACTGAAAAGTCATTTTCCATACTTTTTTCTATGTTCCACACTCTCAGGATAGATTCCTGACATGTCCACAGGTATGAGGGGGGAGGTTCACACTGATGACACTCAGCATTTAACGTCAAGCTGGCCAATGCCGTTTTATGTCCAGTAATAACATTATGCCTTATTACCTAAGCTGAATGCTGACCTAATTTCATGCGACAATGAGAAAGATGAAGAGTGTAAAAATGTGTGTCTAATTCAGCCGTTCATCTAACTAACCATGAAATAAGGGTGGTCTGCGATACGCTACGATGGCTGATCAAAAAAAGAGGATGGGTACATTATAAGTTTCAAATTTCAAAAGGGCAAGGCAGAGAGAAACCCCAGAGTATTTCTGCAAATTCATGCAAAGTCATGAATGAATGAGAAGGCGGCAGCAGCCCAGGAATGGCAACAGAGACGAGGACCGTTTTAGGCCCCGTTTCTACTATTTGTGGATCAGCTTTAAAAATAGCACTCTATATATACATACAGACTGTGTGTACACACAGTACAGTGCACACACACACACACACGACAGTGGGAGCCAAGTGGCAGCATCACAGAGCTGAAGCATCTGGAAAGCCGTGAGTACAGACACCACACCAGCTTTCCAGCATTGTTTGCATTCCCTCTACCTGGGAGAGCAAGAGAAGAAGAACGCCCTCTATTTACATCCATTCTTATGAAACAAAGAATGTGAAATAGTCCGTCATGAGACTGACAGTCCTTTTGTGCTGCTGTGGGCGCTGCACTGCACGCTCGTTTAGAGTGGATGCAATTGGCTTTGCTTTGGTGATGAGTTGCTCATGAATTATGCACTGATGGGAGAGATTGGGGGGGGAGGGGGGGTTGAAGAAAGAGGGTGTAATGAGTGTCATAATTGTTTTGTAAAAAGGCTTGATGAAGAACTGGAGGCTGCCAGGGCCTGTTTCTACATAGAAAATCTACAGCAAGCAGCAGGAACCGAATGTACAAACTATTGGCAACATCTTTTTAGTATTTAGTTCCAAACCCTTCGGCACAATAATTTCCTAAAATCCATGTCATCTGCTTCTCTTTATCTTCGTCTCCTCTCATTTGACCAGCCCAGATTTAATAAGCCAGATCAGTAAAGCAAAATGAATTCTACCTGGATCACCTCATTAGTGTACTTCTTGAAAAGTAGGTGTCCCTATTATGTTGCACATTCACTCTTTTCATTCATTTAATTTCAAATTACATAGAGTAGAGGTGTTGGTAACATGATTTAGCTAAATAATGAAGAGGTGTGTGTTCATGCTCTCTTACAGCCTTCGTTAGTCACTGAGCAAGCCGGGGACTCGCTCCAGTAGCGGTGAAGTTCAAAGACAGCACACTGAGGGATTTGTCTTTAGGCTGTGGGCTGATCACACATGAAAAGGCTGCTTTATCTGCCCGGGGTGGTCAAGTCTCGACCTTTTACCCTTCATGCTGCCGGAGCTCGCTTCCCATGTCTGATGTCAGGCAGAATCTCTGCTCTCACATGGGAAGCGGAGGGCCTGGAGTGTGTCTGCTGCCTCGCTGAGCAGGCGAGAGCGACAGAGAGGCTCTGGACAATGAAAAGATTACCGCTGATAATTAGGAATCTACAGCAGGCCAAGATTAGAACCCTGGGGAACGCCTAAGAACGTTCAGACGGTTTATTTCACAAGGGTCTAATGACAAGCTCATCTTTTACATTTCATAACAGTTGGACTCTGGGAATATGGACATAAAAGCACACATTGGAGTGAAGTAATTCAGCCGCTGCAACCACTACATTCCTAAAGTTTTTAAGTACAGATGCTAGAATATTACAGCTGTCAAGACTTGATGAAAATGTTGATCATCCCTGTGGATAAACTGGGCAAATCTTTCTTGATAAAGCTCTGTGATGCTACTGATGTGAGATGTTTTCATGCACTTTTGCATCCAGGTAGTAAAAACATTAAACCCTCAGCACACTTGCCAAGTATTTTACATAATTTCAGTCCATTTCTGTAAAGTGCCTTTTTGAAAATTGGTTCTATTGTGTTTGGTTGCCTAGACACTATTAGCTTGAGAAAAAAAAATAAGACAAATACAAAGTAACAATAAATATTTGATATGAAAGAGATATAAAAGATTATACAGACTGTTTTAGAAAGATTATTTAAATGGACAACAACATAAACTCAGGATGTGGGAAACAAAGTGTCTCAACCGAGGATTAGAAATGGTATAAAAAAGGAATACAAACACTATCACTGTACGAATGTGTCCACTAAGCTTTAGAGAGGTCACATCATGTCGTAACCTCGGGGCAGCCTGCAACGAAGATTAGTCCATAAAAGAACAGTTAGAAAATGTTGCATCGCATCATTATCCCTGACATCTGTTGCTATGGCCGTTAAGCATTTCAAAGCTTCAATCTCCTATTCCAACGATGTGGGTGGAAAGCCACAAGCTACAAGGGCAATATTATGATTCTGACATTTATTCATGAAGAGAAAGTTGACATAGGGATGGTCTTTTTCAGCAACACCATGCTTCATTCACAGTTTCGCAGTTGAAGCTTCCCAATACAACCACAGTCTTCTACAATTGGACGAATAATAATCTTTCCTTGGGCAATCAGGGGTTAAGTGACTTGCTAAAGGGCACGTCACCCAGATTTTCCCAGCCGGTCGTGGTTTGTGAACTGGTGACCTTCCTCCTGACAACCTGCCTTGCTGTCCTCTAGGCTAATGCTGCCCTCAATTTTACTGATACATCGCCACCAATGTTTCTGCCATGGGCTGAATGTGTCAGGACCTGCAGGGAAGGAGCGCAGGGCTGTGACTGAGTCATGACACAAAAAACAAACCACTTACATGCCACAAAATGCAGCAGGAGACCGGTGTGTTTGGCCTAGATGTGATTTGCGTCTACACGGCATTCTGTTGGCTTTTACAAGGAAAGATTTGATGTAATCAGATAATGACGTGGCTGTGTGTGCACTCCAAGTTCTGCGTGATACAGTACAATATTTGGGTCAAACACAAGTGATAATTAGAGCAGAACAAAATCTGTAATATACTAAAATTTACTTGGACAAAATTAAGACAATTGTGCCCCATATTTTGATCTCTATGAAAAATATGCAGAATAACCTATTAGCAGCATATGGAAGTACAGACAACTTTCACTGGATTACTTTAATACTTAAAAAAATTAAAACATGATAATCTCAGGCAAGTCTCTCTCAAGTCTCTTTTCTATGATTTCTATGTGGATTTATGGACATGTGTGTCCAGATCTGACTGAGTTATCACTCTGAGAAGCAGTGCACTCTCCTGCGTCCCCCTAGGGAGGAGAGCCTCGCAGACCTCTGGTCTTGGGCACAGAAATGCCAAAAAAGTCAGTCATCAGGCTAAAATCCTTTTCAGTCATTTTAGATGAGCATTATCAGTATGCCCACACGATAAGTCTCTAATACAACACTGACGCAATATATTGGTCAAGCCCAAGCGTTTGTTATCAGTTTTTGCCATTACGGTGTGTGTGTGTGTGTGTGTATGTATGTGTGTGTGTGTGAGTGTCTTATTATTATGTCCATCCTTTACTGCCTTGGTGTGTTAAGTGGCAGCAGGGCAGCCTGGAGCAGAGAGATAACAGTCAGCGGTAGAGGGCTGGTAGTTGAGGGTGGTGGTGAAGATGGTTCTCGGCTGCTGGAGCCGGGCCAGAGGACCGCTGAGAAAGCCATCACTTTTCCCACTCAGCAGCAACATCTGCCGAGGCCGACTGTGACCTGCTCCACTGCAGACCCCCACTGCACCGTCCAGTGATTACTACAATTCAGACTAAGCTGGTGGATGGATGGAGCTTGGTGCAAATGCTGCAGATGTCATGGGACCTGTCTGAAACATTATCTACATAATATGTGCTTATACCAACTGTGATCAATGCAAGTGAATTTAAATACCTAGCAGGGATGTAGATAAATAGATTCTTTATTGTCCTTTTCAAGATATTTGTTGCCACAGTCTGTACATAAAATTTAGGGAAAGTAGCATTAAGGCAGTCAAACTAAAGACACACTAGCAACGACTTCTAAATCCTACTTTGTGAACTGGTTGGTGAAAGGATATAACTGAAGCACTAAACTTTTATTTACAAGTAAATTCACCCCTTCAGTGTGGTTGATAAAGTTAGATTCTTGAAAGGGACCCTGAACCTAACTACACAATTACCAGACAACACCTTTAACTTTTGTTTTTGCCGCTTCTTGAAGGCAAAGAAAGAAGAAGTGCTCATATAGGCAACACATCTGTTTTACTAAAGGCAAACGGGGTGAACCTTCACTTAAATCAAGCGGCAGCTTAGTCCAAGCAAACGTCTTGCAACT